TTAGGCTAACATAAACAGCTTATAGAAGTAGGCATAAATCAAACAATTTTAGGAAAATAGCACTTATTCATTTTAATGAAGTTTTAAGTTACGGTTATAGTACATTATAGTTTTATAAAATATTTGTTCAACCATTATAAGGGAACACTGTTAGGTGTCCCTTTATAATTGACATGTATTTTTACAATGCATGCATATAAAAATGATAATATATATATATATGATGTGCATGTATCAAATTTTAATAGTTTAAATCATAAAATCATATAACTTTAGACAACTAAAAGCTTACTAATTCACTCTCTTTCACACTCTTAAACATAACATGATTATTTAGACTTCAAGTCTTGCTTACTTATTTAAAGTTAAATAATTTAATTATGCAAAATTAATTTACAACTTATATTTATGATTTTTTTGCTTATACATTTCCTTAGTTATTTGCTTCTAAGTCGTCAATGTATGATTTTTCTCCAAGAATTACAGTATGTTCATTGTTGTGTAATTTATTTTTAATTATATATGTTTTGGCTCTACATTCTTTTTGCTTTTTATGTCAAACTCTAACCCCAATATATGAATAGAAAGCCAAATCTTTTCCACATGTCACTGAGATGGAAATCCATTATAAATCATAATGCCAACGGGTCAACTTAGAGAGGAATGCAAATGTTTCAGTCACTACGCTGTATTAGTGCTTTCTTACGATTGTAAGAATGCTTGCTTGTGACCCCCATTTACTATTATTTTTATTTTTTATATAACATTCTTTTGTATTTGCTTCCCCTTTATCCAGACACTATATGAGTAGGAAAAAAGAGACCTCAAGTTACACTTGCATTCAATTTCCTTTGGTCATGTTCAAGTTAGACTTGTATAAACAGTCACATATATGACTTTTAGCACCGAATATAATGTTGACCATTTATTCATTTACTTTCCCTTCCTAGTTTGACTTTCTATACCATTTATGGGATGAACTTCAGTAAAAGCTTGATTTAATTCCATTCATTTTTATGAACAAACATGTTTGCATGCCACATGCGTGCACAAACACACATACAACCACGTTAACATGGGTCTTCATAAAGAACTAAACCCATGTTAGAAAATTTGAGGGCAAAACTACATATGTAACAACATGAGATATAGTAAAAATATATAGCCAAAATAATGGTGCAAGCATTGGTAAAGCAAAATTTTATACTACTAACTGGAAGATAAACACCAGAGCATCAATATCTAGAAGGAACAAGGATACTTTGTAGGTAGAATCTGAAAAGGACTATACTGTACACCACTTTCAATCACATAAAGTGTGTTCCTATAGCTTATAGTAATCAATGTATTTTGACTATGAAGCTTTTTGGTGCAGTAGAGGGCACGCCCCCACCAAGTTTAAATCAAAGAAGTTAAGGGGAAATACCTTTCATCAGTTTGAACTTTGAAGTGATGCATCAAGGAATCAACCATAGTATTCTAAACATCAGAGCTGCAAGAAAATTCTATTATATGATCACCAAACTATTAAGCATACTCCTTTAACCAATTGTTAATGACATATTTGTGATACTGTTTATATTGGCAGTGTATTAAAAACTGAAGCACAATTTAGAGCTATTAGTATTAGATACACTTCACAGTGATGTTCTGAGCTAGTATAGATTACATACTGTGAATATAGAATTTCTGTGCTAAATATTCAACTAAGGCGTGACTATTATTTGTATGTCTTAAAGTCTTGATTGAACATGATGACAGTGAGAGAGCAAAATAACTATGAAAATGACACCACTAACAAGTATATGAAGTTGATAGTTCATGGAAAAGCAATGTGGTACCAAGAAAAGAGCGCCCATCTAGAGGGGATTTGATGAACTTGACATTTCAACAAAGTAGGGGCCAGTACCCAATATATTTTGGAACAGTTTAGAGCTATGTGACCTACCTAAGCCACATAATTAATATGCAGATTTATGGTCTTGCACATTAGAAACAGATGAGAATTAAATTAGAGAACTTGTATTAACTATTAAGTTATTGGTAACAGTCCTTATCATGAAAGTGACAGAAGCTTATATGATTCATTTGTTTAGTGTCTAAATTATCATGTTATAACTATATATATGCGGAGTTACGGTGTAGAGTACAAGAACAGAATATAAAAATACGGAAAAATATCTTGAAATTCATTCATATTCTTGAATTTTAACAAAGATAAGAACCATTGTTTAGATGCTTGTTTGGTCAGATAAGGATATATGTTCTTGGTATGGCATCGTGCCCTTCAAAGGAATTGGAATTGAATTCGACAATCATTAGGCTTTGGAAGAAAACCCATTTCTCTTGTACATCCATTTTAACGCCAATAAAAGAAAAAGGTGCGCTGGAGTTTTCTAACCTATCCTCAACCACATTAACTGTAAAATAGAAGCTTATAACCTACCGTAAGCTAGGGATTTAAAGTCATAAACATAATTATTAAGGTCTATATATAAAATTGGAGCAAATTAGATGGTAATTATATAAGTTGATGTCAAACTTCCAATATTTTAAAAATGGAGAAAAGTAACTCAAACAGAATTAGAAGCACAAACAGCTTAATTCCTCATTTTGTTATTATTTTTTATGTTCAAAAGTCCTGGTGCTTTTATCTGTTTGGATTGGCATGGGGACGGAGGAATAAATTGATATACAAGTGAAAAACGTTGGGAAGTATTTTACACTTTTTTACTTTTGGGCTTTAATCATAAAAATGGCGAAGAACATTTTTAGGTTCCTTTCAAAAGGGGGAGGTCTTGCAAAAGAGTGTTGTTTTGAAAAAGATAAAGATTTAAAATATATATTATTCCTTTGTTAATGTCGGTAGCTGCCTATTATTTAGGATATATACTTGTTAAGTTTCTAGTGCAGAGTTTAAAACACATTCCCTTGTTAAGTTTCTAGGTTATATTGGTTGAACTATAAACTAATTATAGTTTAAATTCAAGCATTCTATTTACTTCAACAAACTAAGCCATAAACTAAATGTGTTATCGTTTTAATCTTTGATTTAATTTTCAAATTATTAACACAATTCTCTTTCTTCTTCCTCTTTCCCAAGTCCCTCAGTAATAAGGATTCTCTAGGCCCTAACCCGGCAGTGGTAGCACCGAGAAAGAGAGAAGGGAGGAGGGGAACCAAAAAGAATAGATAGCCTATTTATCTTTCTTTTATATCCGTTGGTCTTTGTCTTTAATTTTATCACATTATATTCCACAACTAAACAAAGAATAATTCCTCTTTTCATCTTTCCTATGCACAGGATTGGCATCCACAAATTAATACCCATTTCCACCCACCATGACCAAATCCAAAGGGGAAAATATCTATCCAAGAGCATAGTCTTTTTGGGTATTTAATACTATATATATATTCAATTAAGATAAATGAATTCACAATTAACATAAAATACATTCAATTTCAATGCATACCACATTCAATACCCAGATATCTATTTTGACTTTATTTCTCTCTTGACTATTTTGGCAAGATTTGTTTTAATATGTATAGCTCACTTTAATTCAATGAGAATTAATTAATAATAGTATAGTAAGTCTAGAAAAAACTATTTTTTAAAAAAATTGGTCGGCACTATTTTTAGTAGAGCATAAATAAGCAAATTAATTAGAAGTTCCTAAATATAATATAATAGTATAATAATATACAGAAAACTGATATATATATATATATATATATATATATATAACCGCCATATACTATTATACTATATTTAGTAATTGACTTTTAATTAGTTTGCTTATTTATGCTCCAATAGTTTCTAATAATTTAATTTAATACACAAATTGATTAGAGCAACATCCAGAAAAAAAATATATATATTATCTACAAGAATCGGTGGCTTTCTCAACCTATCATAAGGGAATCGATGGTTCTACTATAAATAAATAAATATTATAGTAAATTGCAGGAACTTATATATACACTAGCTATTTTAATTAGACGAGTTTAAATTCTTTCTCAAATTTATATAAATGCTAAATGTACAAAAGATAATTTTAAAAATTGACACTGGAGTAGTACACTCCTCATCTTTAAAAATATTATCATAGACAACAGGATCACATAATTATGCAGAAAAAGGCTTTGCTCATTGTCTTTCACATAATTCTTTTTAACCTCTAACGGGGAGGTTAGTCGTCTAGGTTGAAAATTCAGATTTAGGGTCAATTTATACTAACTTCTCAATAATTTTTTATACCAAAAAAATTAAAAATATATAAACATTCATCTTTTTTATAAATTCAAATCAACTTATACTCTATTACTTTTTTAGAAACATTTTTACTAAACCTTTTTAAAATATAAGATGCACAAGTTAATCTTAAATTATAAAAAATTATTCATTTTATATCTTTATTTCTTCATAAATATTTATTTAAATTTTTTCCCAAAATAGACCTTCGCAAACACTGAATAATACATGGCACTTTCAAAAGTTCACTATTCTATGTAACTTCAAAACGTATAGACCCCAATTTATATCCATCCCAAGATGAGATCTCCTAGAATTTCAGATCAGTGGCTTTCAGTAATCATCACAAAGACTGAATTACATCAATGGCGAGAATGGATGAGTCCAAACAGTATGAGAGATAGTGACTAATAGCTAGTTTATTGGAATATTTCTGTCATCTCAAACACAAAGTCCCTTCCTTGGAATATTATATCTTTCAATCAACCCAAGTATCCAGTCAAACTAGGCCCATCAAATTCCTTAACAAAGATGCCTATAAAATTAACATCAAACAATCTACATCTCCTGGTTACACCGCCATGCAATTAGAGTTTACATCTACGTGCTTAATTATCAAACAAAAACAAATTAGCATACAATTGGAAAATAACTATTGTAGACTCTCTCTTCCTATTCACCCTCCACTAGTTGAAACCATGTTAAGAAAGCCCACACAGCTTGAACAAGAGCTTGTCATGTGGAGCCGTTGATGCTAATAAATTATGTTACATATCTTCTGGTGAAGAATGGGATAAATACACTAGACTTGCCATGGCCTCTTGAAGCCAATCCTCCTCATCATTCTTTAACTGCATGCATAAAGGATTACCCATTCAGAAATTAATTTGAAAGTGTGACTAATATTTTTTTTTATTTTTTATTTTTGCATTTAAGCGCATGAAAAATTGATTTTAGACAGCTATCAATTTGATTGCAAGAAAGGAAATATTAGAACAAAATTATAAATCCTCTCTTACAATTAACATCTTATTATTCATCCAACTTATTAAATGAAGAAAGTGTTGTACTTTTTTTTATACCCTTAACATATTAAATATTTCCTTTATATAAAGCATTTAAAGGAATTAACACAAGAAATTAGATAACATTACTCATTAAAAAAAATGTTTATTAGTTTACGGTTAAAAAAGTTTAGAGCATTATCGACAATTCGATAGCTTGACCTTTCGTTGTCAGATATAGATTCTTCTTTCTTCATATTCACATTAACAGTACATATACAATGAAAATTACCTGGAACTGGATTGAATCGCCACCATAAAAGTCTTCTTTGTGGTGACGATGATTCTCATGCTTCTTTGTTGCTATGTCTTCCTCACATAGCTCATTGTTTCTTGCAAACCTTCCCCTAACTCTGACTCGCCGATCAGCTAAGGTTTTTCGACATGCATACTGTAGAAATAGGCCAATGATAAATATGTGAATTCCTAATTCCAATTAATTTATAAAAGAAGATAAAAGAGTCATGCATAAGTGCGTGTGAGAAAGAGAATATAAGAAAACCTTGATGGTTTTGTTGAAGTTTCTTTGATTTCTTTTCTTCAAATATCGGAGAATTCTTTCTTTCCTTTCTTCTTCTGAGTACCTTCCTACCTTTATGTTAGGCTCTTCGACTGCTGGCATTTGATTACCCTGAATTCCCTGCCATAAATTTAAAACACCATTTAATAAAACTAAACTAAATGTTTATCTATAATATTATATTCATGACCAAAACTTTCCTTTATATGTGATGAAAATAAAGAACTTATGAAATATTCTGTTAAACAAAAAGAAGTATTGAAAATCGTTTTCAAGAGGGGAGGAAGCTAGAGAGGTGATCATGATCACTCCTTGGAATGAAAATTTTGATGTTCCACTTTGAAATTAGAAGTCATGTATACGTCTCATTGTACTACTCCCTTCCAAAGGAGAATACATACATGAAAATTCAAAAGTAAAATAAAATTATACATATTAAAATGAAAAAACAAAACTAAAATTATCAATTCAGTGCATAACACCTTGCCATGCACTAACCTTTCAATAAAACACAACATGGAGAATTCAAGGATAGTTATTTATGCATACCCAATTTTCTCTCGCAGTATTAGGATAAGCAGGTGGCTTAATATCCTCCACAAACCCACAACATTCTTCCCCAAACTCACCAATATGTGGTTGGTATCTGCTGTTGAAATTCTGAAACCCTCCGTAGAAGCCCATTTTACAGTCGGAAATGGCCAAGTCAGAAATGCCCCCAAGTTGCTCAGAAAAGTTTGGCATCCAATTACCACAAGTCACGGTGTCACAATCAAGTGACACAATATGATCAAGTGCCCCATTATTAATGTGATCAAGCACAGGAATCAAGCTATCTTGACCACCCCACGTGGTGTTGTCCATGACTGAGATGTTGCTATTGAGTGGTGTAGGGAACTCTGAAAGATCATGAGAAGTGAATGTGTAGTTTGAATAGAATTGTGGGATGGAAGCCATGGAAGAGGGAGAGAGGGGCATGGAAAAGGCAATGACCGCGGATGTTGACGAGAGCGTGTGTTTGTGTTGTGTGATTTTGTGTTTCGTGTGTTCTGGTTGAACTTTTTTTCTTTTGTGGCTTGAAATATATAGGCTATTGTGATAGTGCAAAAGAGTGGGTTGAGGCAAGTTGTCAAGGCAAGTGGCAAAGACTAAACTAGGTAATTAGGCAGCTAGGAATATGGGTTTCAAACAAACTAATTAAACTGTGTCTACTTTCTTATCTTCTCTCTTTACTGTTGTGTGAAGCTGTAAACGCGTAATTAAACATATTTTGTTCGCATTAACAACAAAATGGCTTTCATTTTTATCGAAAAAATAAATTAAATAATTGATGGGAAAGTAAAATTGCATTGGTGGTCATTACTAACAAAATATATAACATTACCCAAAAAGTTGTATTGGTAATAATTTAAAGTGGTTGTGATACTCTCACGAAAATTTTACAAAACGCCCTGGTTTAAGAGTATTTTCGATTAGTGCTTATACATTTTTTAATTCCTCTTCAAATGATTTAAAAACGTTTATGGCACGTCAAATCATTACATAGATGAAATTAATGGGTTCTTTTTGAATTATTATATGTTTTCCTTATTGGCTGCTTAATTTGAAGAACTGGTGACACATTAATTTGCCAACATCTGTTGAGTTAACATTGAATGTTATGTACAGTTACATAATTTATTTTATTAAAGATGTGTACGTACTTAAAAGGGAAATGTTCAATGTATTCCCATGTTTAGGGATCATGTCACATTGGTTCTCAAATTTCAGAAACGTGTTATGAGATCTCTAAAATCTCAGTAAACCTTTTAGTACGTACTTTTCCTCTTTTGTTTCATTTTCAATCAAATTCTATTAAAAGTTGTAACGCTAAAATCACATTTTAAAATTTTGTGGGACTTAAGTTCACTTTATTGGGTATTAGGAGTTAAATTAGGATAAGGATCCCCTCCAATATCATTATTATTGGAGATAATTTTCACTAATGTTTAGAATTATCGCTTATAATGAAATTTTCACTCCAAAAAATTCAGATCCGCTAAATTAAATTTCTTTTCTGAACAAGTTTAACATTATTCTTCTATCATATCATTGTCCGCTTTCATACTTCTCTCTTTTATTCCTATTTGTTTCTTGTGTTGTAAGAAATTTTGTATAAATTTAAATTAGAAATATTCTTTAAATTAAAAAATCAATAACTAAACATAAATTTGTATTTTAATAAGATAAGTAAAAAATATTGCTTATATTGTTAATTGATTGATTAAGGTTATTTAAAAATTCTAATCAAAATATTATTCTATATTAAAATATTTATTATAACCCACTAATGTTCCACTTGTTAGTTATAGGTCTTTTTTTATCTCCAGCAAAAGAAGATGGTTTAACTCTTTGTATATGCGGAAACACGTCTAAGTCCAGTTATAGATAAAGATATCATATTTTGAGTTTTATAGTCAAAAGTAAAGGCTAAAAGTAAATGATTCTCATTTAAATAAAGTGTTGATTACTGGCTTAACTTGTTTGCTAGCAGTCATATGTAGTGTAACTCGTAACTCGGCCCATAATTCTCATGGAAATCTTTTTGGAAGTCAAGGATTAATGTTTAATATAATAAGGTTATTCTCAATAAATTATTGTCATTTCCCTAAACAACAAGTCATATTATTTATTTGTTTTTTTTTTATATATGCATTAAAAACACTAAACACTACTATGCGTAGAAAATAGGTTTAAAGGTATAATATGTACATGTTATTTAACAGAAATATTGTATTGGAAGATTTTTCAATATCAATTTTTCCATCACTGTTTCATATCGAAATAAGTGTATATTATTGTATAATTACACTTTACAACAAATCAAACTACTTTCACAAACAAATTAAAGTGAAACCATTTTCCCGCATCCAATTAGAAATACTTTTTTTTTTACTTTTCAAATGTCCTTCTTGATTGAGTGATTTTCTAACAGTACTAACAATTGATCAATATCCAATCAAAGCTCAGGACTGAGATTCGATGAGAAACTTAATAATTCGTGTATAATGATATTATTGTCAAAGGTTAAACCTATAAAGTAGATTACATATTTATGCAAATAGAATAAAGTACAAATTTAATTTTTCAGCAACTTATAGCCAACGAGAAGAGGAATTTAAACTACTTAGAAGGAAAAGCTGAAGCGATCTAAAAAGCAAATTGTAGAGGGCTTCATGTGCACACTATTCTTCCATACTCTTTCAAAGCTGTGCATCCATAAGTACTACTAAAGATTTATCCTAGTTATAGGCTAAGAATCTAACACATGGGGTTGTTCGATTTTTAGTAAACAAATCAAGTACAAGATATTTCTCTCCCTACCCAAAGTTTTCATCAACTACTTCACTTGCCCTAATATACCCATCACTTATATCGAAACATAAGTACATTGACTTGAGGTTTATAAGCAAATCTACCCTTGGCAAGCAAAGAATTATAGGTCACATATATGTAGGCCAAAGTGCCCCCATGATTGGATGGGAGCTTAATTTTGTACAATAACGAGACATATTCGTCTTGATTATATGTCTATGAAGCTTCTGTTGTTTACCATGAGCTCAAACCGTTATCATTGGAAATAGAGGTGAATGTCTGTGTGTTAATGTTGTGCTTATTTTCTTTGTTGCATCTGTAAAAATTATGCGGTTCTATATTAGTATGGTAATTTTAAATTTTCATTTATATAATAATTCTGTTTTGATACAGATAAGTTGTATCATCATATATAGTTTCCAAAAAATTATACTTCAGAAATATACTTTTTTATGAAATTAGTATATGTACGTAATCCTGTAAGGTTCAATGAAGTGTAATATTCTGATAGTAATTTTGCCTTGCTTAAAATATTTGTTAAATTTTAGTATTATAAATGTGTGTAGGTATGTATGATCAGCAGGAACAGCATCCTTAATATATGAAACCCACATTTTTGTCTTTGCTCTTAAAAACTGACTTAAAAAGACTAGAAAACTTCATTTTCATTTTAAGCTATATTTTATGTGAATAACTGTTGCATATATTCAAAATCGAGTTTCAATAAATACAGTTATATTAAATATTTAGATAAAAAAAATTTATTGTTCAATAATAATTCTATTTATCTTAAACACAATTATCTTTAGTAAAACATGCGTATGATCTAAATAAAAAATATTCAAATGACAACAAATCTTCCTCTGGTTCCTGTATTTATTTTGGACTTAATCTTCTGTTTTGGTGGTCCAAAAAGCAAGGTCTAATAAACACTGAAGCTTATTCTTGCTAATTAAGACAGCTACCAACTGAATTTTATGGATGTAATATCTACTTACTAAATTAAAATCTCTCTAGAGCAGCACCAATATTTAGAGATAACTTGAATACAATCCCTCTTTCACACAATTTTGAATCCATGCTTCTCAAAAACACATCAAACTTGATATTTTCTTTATCTGATAAAAGTTAATCAGCAACAGCTAGCCTTATTGTTAGTCACATCCCTTCCTCTCATCGATGACAAAGTTAGAATGTTTGAATTTGATAGATTTTTTCTTAGTCAAATCATTCTAAGTTAGAGGGAGAGAAAGTTAGAGTATTTAAATTAACTGTACATATAAACTAGTGTATTAGTCTAGGTATCATTATACATATATTGTGTTTCAGTTAAAATTCTGTAAAAAATTATGTTAATGTAAAACTAATTAGCCTTTATATAAATAGGAAATGCTAAATACGTACAAATATTTTTGTATGAGAAAAGATAATATTTTCATTTTCTCTCTCTATAAATTAATTTTGCCTCACTATCACTCACCTTTTTTCACTTGATTATCATCAAACAATCTTTATAAAATTCTAACCAACCAATTATATAGTTAAACAACTTCCAATTCACATAACATAATCCATTTTTAAGATTTAAATTTAGAATCAAATAGTATTTCCCAAATTTTTGGCCAAGTCCACTATCTTATTAACAACGAATGAGGATCACTCCTTCAAGCATATCTCTCACTCTCTCTTATATAAAATAAATTAAACAAATAATTTAATTATAATTTTATTAGCCTCTTTAAATTCTTTAAATTTTTCGGTATAAGATTTGGAAGAATTGTGGAAGATAAGAATAGAGCGTGTTCGAAACTTGCTATTTTGCTTAAAGAAAGCTTTAATTCGGTTATAAAAGAAATAAGAAGACATGGTATTCTTGCAGATTTATCTTCGTGTAGAGAAGGTGTAGCCGATTATTTGAGTCTATGCTACAGTTAGATGGAGAGAAAACAATGAATTTTTGCAATTGTCGCGTGTTAATCCACTTGTCAGTTTTTTAAACATAGCTAGCATGTATGATGACATTTGTAATCCACTTTGTTTCTAAGAAGTGCTTGGAGACATGCACACCTTAGGATTCAAAATTTGGGGAAGAAATTATTTTTTTTTATCATCAACATTTATTTAAAATAAATTTAAAGCATAAGGAGTTCTTCAATTCGTTAAGAAAGAAATTAAAATTAATTGAAGGATAAGTTAATTAATTAGGTTTAAAATGCTCTTTTAAGGGTAACTTAAAAAATAATTTTTATAACTGTTCATTAAAATACTTCTTTCAAATCGTGAATTATAAATTCAAAAAAATTATAATTTTTTTTGTTATAAATCAAAATTGACTCATTAACATTAAAATTTAAGTTTATATATCTAAAATTCAAAAAAATTTCGTTTATGAGTATTTTATTACAAATTAAAATTGATTTTCTTAAGTCTTAATTAAAACTTAAGTTTGTACGACGTATTAATCAAATACTTTACTTTCAAATAAATAAAAAAAAGTAATGAGAAATTCCACTGTAAAGAAAGAAAGAAAAAAATAATGGAGAAAAAAATGAGAAAAATATTTAATAAAAGGAGCCAACCTTATTAATGTAGAGAAAGATGAA